ATATATTACATTGACCTGTTGATAATTATTTATACCCTTTAGCAGAAACAGCCAAGCATTGTAGTTGTTCAAGTTTAATGATATTTTTACTTTTTCTATGATCTATATTTTACTATTTCAGAATAATTAATAAGTGCTTTTATATATAATTGACAAATCAATGATAAAGTATAGTAATACTTCTCTTATTTTTACGTTTTATAAATCACATATAAATATTTGATATGACCAAGCTTTTTTACAGGATCTTGAGCTTAGGCAAATGAATTAATGAATGAAAGCCAACAAGTGAGTGGTGGCATTCTCAACCTTCAAATTTAAATTACCAATCTAACTTTATTGTTGGATAAATTGTGAGTTAAAAAATTAATAATACAGTACCTGGACAAAAGTTTCGGAACACTTGCTTTTGTTAATTGCGCAAAAATGTACATAATAAACATATATAAAATTTATATCATTTGCGGTTTAAATTCTTGTAAATATTTATGCAAAGTCTTGTGTGTCTAGGTTCCGTAGAACTCGAATAAACACATAAAAATGAAATTCGATTAAGTATTGACAATCAAAAATTTTTGGCATGATGTTTTTAGAAATTGTCAAAGAACCTACATAATTATATGTTTTGAAATTTTGTATATGAAAATCCAAGTTTTGCTGATTCTGAAAAAGTATTTTTTATTGCATATTTTTTAAGATCTTTTTTTTTAAAAAAAGATCTAAAAAGTTTTCAAAATTTTAAATTTCAAAAAAAAAAAGTCTAATTTAACTGAAGCTCAACACGGACAAATAGTTGGCCTTTATACAGTGGAGCCTCATATAGAATTATTATAAAACACTTGGCTTCCCACCATAACAGTATATCGTATTAGAAGTCGTCCTAACAATCTAAGAAATCTTAAAGAACTTGAGGCTGCTTTAAAAGAGGAATGGAATAAAATTCCTCAAAATGTTTTAATGAATTTGATTGAAAGCATGCCTAGAAGAATTCAGGCTTGCATAAAGAGCAAAGGATACCCAACTAAATATTAAAAGTAGTTAATATTTTAAATTAAAATTATTACATAGAATTTGAGTAATAAAATAAAATATTTCGCATCAGAAATTTAGTGATCGTCAAAGAAATTTTTTAATCGAATTTCATTTTTATATATTTATTCGAGTTCTACGGAACCTAGATGCATGGAATTTTGCATAGATATTTACAAGAACCTAAACCGCAAATGATATAAATTTCATATATGTTTATTATGTACATTTTTGCGCAATTAACAAA